ATGATCACTCAGTATAGTATTTGTTCCGTTTCCCCCTGACATTTAATTCTGTATAACATACGATATTATTGTATTGAGTTAACATGAACTATATTCAACATATGATTTTTTATAACTAAGTATCTTTCATATATGTGATTTTATTCTTATTATTAATCAAATAATGGGTGTACAAACCAATAAATACGAGTGTATTTCCGACTAAACTTGTCTTGATTGCTCGTACTACTGGCTGCTTGAGGAGTATATTTCCCCGTTTCGGACTTGCACTTCTCTCTCTAGTTACCGGGGCTGGGACGCATCAGAATAGCTAGCTTATTGGTCTTTGATCAAAGTCTTTGTTCCGTTCGCAGACTAGGTGAACTCGTAATCGCTTCAAACATAGCAGAGAGGTGTCCTGAATTCGTTGAGTTTGTCAGTATCTCGGAGGAAGTCTGTACTGAATCATTGCAATGCTGTTTCTCCAGTTATCCAGTGCTTCTTTAGCTTCAGTTTAATGATAACCACCAGGTGGTGATCTGAATCTATGTCAGCTACTCTCTATCTGCTCAGGTCTGCTATTGATCTGAGTTTCTTAGTAATGCAAATATGATTGATCAGGTCCTTTATAATGTTATCCGGTGAGACCCATGTAGATTCGTCAATGGATTTGTAGGTGATTATAACGTTGCCTACAACCATTGTGTTGAATACACATAAATTTTAAAATCTCTCACCACTCTCGTCCTTTTCTTCCAGTCCATGTCGTCCCATGATTTATTCATACCAGATGTCCATCCCGGCTTTGGCCTTTAGGTTTTTCATCTGGATGGTCAGGTCCTTTCCTGAACACTTCCCCATGATCGACCACAGCCTCTTAGAAAACTGGTTTTTTTTAATTACTATTATTGATGAGTGCACATAACTGGATAATATTCATTGTGATCCCCTCCTTTGTTTTGAAGGATGCTTTGATGGTTCTGTATCCATGAGATTCTCATCCTTTCAGTGCTTTACGTGACTTTTTGAACAGTATCAGAGCAACTTTCTGAGTGTACGAAGCAGTTTCTTCGTGATCAGAGCACAGCAGCTTCTCTTCCGAATTCATTCTTTTATGTCGAATTTGGGTTTAATGGGTTTATCTTATTCATACAACCGCCATTTTGTATCTCCTCATTTCTATTGCTATTTGACTGGTTCTTCCGGTCTCCTACATTGTCCGGACATTCTATTTACCTAAACAGTTTGTTGTTCCGGTTGTTAGAAGAGGCATCAGCTTCGTGACTTCCGGAGAATCTCGAAACTTCTGTATCAGCTTGAAATTACGATTAATAATAACCTCATAATAAATGTTTCATGGTTTTTTGTATATGTATGCTGTGAATGATTTCTCATAAATGTATTTTTGGTGTGATTTTCTGAGTTCCTCATTTTAATTTTCAGTGATGTCCTTGAGTTGTCTTGATGATAGTCGGTGGTTGTCTGCAGTACTCCCAGACGCAAATCAAACACAATCTCATGCACTTTCACTTATATTAGATCCTTTGGCTAATGAACACTATCAATTGTTATTGGGGGAACTTTCAAAAATCAAACTAGTTGGTGGTAATGGTAAGAAGCCTCTTTGAAGAGTGAGTGTTAGCAAAATAATTGCTTTTGACAAGAAATTAACTACTAAATCTTGCTCACTAACTAGCTTATAAGCAAGGCACAATGTGGCTTCGTAGCTAAGTGCCTAATATTGTAAAGGTTTTGATTTTGTCCTGCCACAGTTGTTGTTTTTCACTTATGCGCCACATAAGTCACTTGATTTGTGTGTGGCTTGCTTTACTTGTGCCTCTTGCAATATTTCCTGAGTATTTAAGTGGTCGTGACGAGCCGATTTTACACAGGTGTGCTCTTTTTCCAGATACGCGTCTGTGCTCGTATATTTTGGGATCATCAAGTTAGCAATTCTGAGGTTAAATGCAGATTGTTAGGTGAGTACGATTAGGTAGTAAATCTTCATCGACTGCCTCGACGCGCAATGATAGCTGATATAGGAATAGGATGGAAAAGTTTTGGGGCCGGCAAAACCAAACGTGACTATTGGACTAAACAGTGTTGGCAGATACAAACTACGTGGTTGGAGTCCGTGTGATTATCTTGACTAGTGGTTAGAGATTTTGAATAACGTGATTGAAAATCATTTGCAATGGCTCAGGTACATCAACTCTTTTTTTCCTTATATTTTAGGTTTCCAAATTTCTGATAATTTTTTTTATTTGACTGATTTATATATTCTTGAATTGTATTTCGGATGTCTAATCTTTTCTATGCCCCCGAATGCCCTGGTACGGCCGAAAGTGAGGAGAGTCAGCTCTCTCTCTCGAAATGCTCTCACATGGCCAGGCGTATATAGTCTCTGCCAGGGAAGTCCTACTCACTGCCTTCTCGTGGCGGGGGTGTTGTTTACGAAATTAAGAGGACGAAAAGCGAATGTCTGGCGCTTTAACTAGGTTGGTGGACATGGAGAGTCCACCTAGGGAAGTTGGAAAACCCTGACCCCAAACCAATGGTGCACATAGGCTCCAGTATCCTGAAGGAACAAATGGCGTATGAACCAATCGTTGGTCACCGGCTACCATGGGACTGTATCCCCTTACGATGCTCCACTGCCTTGTGGATCAGACCTTTAGGTCGAAGGCTCCGGGTGTGGCCTCATAAGAAAACCGCCCGCTTCGGTTCGGGCACCCGGGCAGTAACACAGCCCTCACACATATCGAATGAGATTTGTGTGACGCATATGTCTTTGGTGCCTCCTTGTACCCATATCTCTGTGTTAAAATAAATAAGTAAATAAATCTTTTATATTCCCACTAAACTGTTAATAACCCTGCCACCATGGGGTTTACCCTAACAATTTCATCTTGCCGTGTTAATGCGGTATGGTAGCTTGAACCAATGTATATATGCACTATGTTCTACGTTACATTCTGCTGACACAATCGTAGAACCCTAAAGCCGAGCTACATTCATTTTATTATAGGTATTTTAGAAATAACCTGTTTTTCGCTGTGATTAATACTATTATTATTAATGGCTTTATTCAGTATTATATTTTGGTACAATATAGAAATTTTCAGCACAGGGTATTTCAACAAGTTTCTTACACAAAAAAAGAACGGAAACAAAGACAAAAAAAAGGGAAAAAAAGGTTTAAAAAAATCTGAAAAACTGTACAACTTTTCAAATTAGAGACATGTTAAGAATGCAGTTTATTGACTAGGTTAACTCTAACAACCTGTTCGTCACAGTATATTTGCTAGGTAAGGTACTATAGAACTTTTATACTTTTGCTTGCGTGCATGGATTTCAATGTAATTACGTCTCGTTCTACCAGAAGATACATAAGGAGAAAGATAAGAGTGAAGGGGATGGCTGGTATCTGACAAAATAACACCTGCCAGGAGTTTGCATGACTTTAGATGTCTATCCACAACCATATTAATTATGATCTCGAAAGATTCACCACACATCTTGCTTACTGCCTTCAGCACTCTCTGCAATACAGCAAAGTCTTTCCACAAAAGGCCGGGAAAGAATAATGGAGAACAGTAAAGAATAATAGGTAATATGCAAGAATTGACAAATTGTAAGAGTAAATGACGAGTAATCCCAAGAGCATGCAATCTCTTTATGTAGTAAGTGAGGTGGAAAACTTTCTTTGATAACAATAAAACGTGAGAAGACCAAGAGAGATCAGAAGAAAAGGTGACACCAAGATACTTGACCTTCGACATTGTGTTTATCAAAGAGTCTCCAATGGCACAAGCATTATGGGATCTCGAAATGGTGTTTAGATGCCGTTCATGTCTCATGCTAAAGTTAACACCTTGACATTTAGACGGATTAAGCGTAAGACCAATACCAACAGACCAACAATCAATACGAGACAAAAACCCATTCATTTCTGTGGGATGTAAAGAGGAAGAGATAGGCATACATATAGTGAGATCATCCGCATATTTCACATAAGTGTTTTCTGTGGAAGATGGCAGATCATGCAGAAAAAAGAGAAAAGAAGAGGTGAAAGAACTGCTCCTTGTGGTACACCTTCATGAGACAGTAGAGACTCTGAACACTTTCCTCCAAATACGGTGTACTGTTCCCTTCCAGAGAGGTAGGAACATAGCCAGTTGGTTATCCAGCTGTCAGTGTTGACGCTGATTAACTTGTTAAGTAAACGTTGTCTTGGTATAGAATCAAAAGCTGAAGTATAGTCCAGAAAAGCGCATCATACATACTTCTTACCCTTTTCTAAGTTGAACACTGTATTATATAATTATTATTAGTATCACTCATAGAAGGTATGTAACTAAAGAGGCAGACTGTGACATAAGCTGATAGTTTTTGGTGTAGTAATAATTTCGTACTAAAAGTCGGAAATCTGGTCTTGGCGGTTGGTTATGCTGATAAATAATCATAGACTTAAATATACTGCGGTAGAAGCTCCACTTGACGAAGTCACTGGTCGATTATGTGTTGTATCAAGAGATACACGTTTCTTGCATCTGGTCCACTAAATAATAAAAATTATGGACATCCAAGGTGACTTGGTTCAAAACAAATCACAATAGTACAGTCGCATTCACTCTATCTTCCATTGCATCTTGAGTATTTCATAACTCTTCACACACTGCCTTTTTATTGTTCTTTTAAACATCTTTCCATTGTTACTGATTTTATTTTTCGGAAGTGCGGTTTCCTTAACACGTATGAACTCGCCAAAGTGCGCAGTTTTAGTAAAAATAAAAAAATATACTGAAAAATGTGTGAAATATGTAGATTTCTGAATAAAAATATAATAAGTAATATTAAAGATGGATGCATCTGTGCTATCATGATAATGTCGTGGGATTTATGGGTCATGGGGATGTGTGCCAATGTAGAAGTAGCTTGGAAAAAAGCTAGATCTTCAAAAATTCCGACTTCTAAAGCGCCACGAACCCAGATGACTTATCTCCAGCTGTTTTAAGGGATAGCGATGTACTTTTGACTGAATTGTTCGGAAATATTTAAGAAATATAAAGTATCCCGACACCATGAAATAAAGTGATGGTCGTTTCCATCTTTCAAAAGGGCCTAAGACATTTTTACACCCATTATCAGGGAGTAAATCTACTTTCAGTTGTTTCCAAGCTATTGGCTTTTGTCATGCTAAGCAGATTGTCCAGAATGAGTGGAAGACTGACTCACAAGAAGTAGGCTATTTTTCGTCTAGGACATGGATACATTAATTATATCTTCACTCTCCACCAAATTCTAGAACACCTGCATACGTATCGCAAGCTTACAATCGTTCTTTTTATTGATATCAAGACCATCTTTGATCCGTCGCTCAGAAATAAGGTTTTGTTGAGGAAGAGTGTGCCTGAGAAGTTTATTAACAGCTTGAACGCTCCGTGTTCAAACATGGGTCAGGGTAATGCATACAACCACCTCAGTTTCATTCAAGCAATAGAATTAGGTGGATTTGACTCATCTTTAACTTTGACGTAGTTGATGTAGGTAATGGTGGTCTAGATTGGTTACTGGGAGAAAGACTGTTCGACGTTGTGTATGCGGATAATGTTTTCCTTTTGTGAGGCGATACTCGAACCATGCAGTCCACGCTTAATTAATATCCGTCAGTAATAGAATGTGCTTCTCACCTTCTGAGTTCAAAGTGCTTTTATGAGACTGGAAGGAGTCTGTACCTGCGATCACTCTACCATATTGAGCAGATAGGATTAGTCGAGAAGTTCATGTATCTGGGTAGCTGTGCAAATCCTGGTGGTAGGGTGAGTGATAAGATCAATGAACATACACTGGGAACCAGATTGGTTTATGCCAATCTGGGCCATCATTGGCGCCTTCATGACGTTATTCTGGCTGTAAAAGGTCGAATCTACAACGCGTCGGTGAGAGCAGCTTTGCTCTATGCTTGTGAAACCTGACCTCTTCGAGTTGAGGATGGACTCTCTGTGTTGGATCACTGTTGTCTAAAGAATTGCCGATATCCAGTGGCCACACCATGCTAGTAATGCAGAGGTTTAGCAATATGTATTCAAGCACAGTGACTATAATTCAGTTCATGTCACCGTCTTAAAACACTGACTTCGGTGGTTTAGACATGTCTTACGAATGCCATCCCAGCGAATTTCACATCGTGCATTACTTTTCGATGCTGGGAACTGCTGAAATAAGTGGAGCGTTGGTCAGTGCACCACATAGTATCGCGGTGTGAAAGGAAGCTGTACATGATTGGCTTCTGTTAGTCTTTCAAGACCCCCTGGTTGGGGTCCTAGAAACGGCGCGACACAGTGTCTTGAGTTGTTATTAGACGTGACTCAGAATAGAAGTCAGTAGCGTTCGTACAGTAATTTTTCCCACTTATTTCATAAATGTGAGAGGAACTTGTTTAATTGTTGTATTTTTCCTAAACGAATACCTTATCCTATTAAATGCTACTCGTATTCACCTGTTTTCATTTATTTATACATATCTCCTACTAATTCCTCAATCTCCACAATTTTATTTCTTTAGACGTATGGCCCTTATTTATTTTGATTCCTATTCTAGTAGTATTTATATGTATTTAAAAATAAAATAGGTGCTGCTGTGCTTAAACATGCATCGATTCATAAAATTACTGAGTTGGCTTGATCCATGTTCGATGCAGATTAATTTGTCGGGGTCTGCATTATGACTGTGGTCAATAAAGACATAAGGTGGTGCAGATAAACTCACTCTTTGCTCTACTCTCGATTGTGAATTCCAGCATACCTGTCCTCTCTGTCTTTATGAACCATATTCTTAATGTTCAGTCTTTCTCACTTTTATTACTGATACATAATTCCGATCTCTGCATCATTCCATCTGGCTATTTTTATCTCATCATGCTTGTGTGGTATGTCAACTGTGGCCAACACAAATATGTGCCAGGGTCTATGCTGATGATAACTGACTGAATACTATGTAGCTGTATAATTCTTAGTAGTCGGATTAGATTTCCAATTTACGTGTCGAGTTCTTAAACCATCGACGTACATTTCTCCCTTCTGGCCATTGTACACTTAGTTGTGTGATCCATTTTAAATAGGTTTCATTTATCTTTCAATTTATTCAGCTTGTTTCAATATAACTCACAATGTGTTATTGTTGTTATTTTCTGTATTCATTTGATAGGTCCTTTCCGTCTCGGCCATAGATGGCTATTGTTTGTTGATGTTGTGGGAATAGTGCGCACTGTTTACGAACGCGAGAGATTTTTTATTGTTGATTGTAAGCTACAAATCATTGCAAATTCACATTTTTAATTAATAAGTTTGTTATTAATACTTAAAAGATATTAATTGCGTAAAGTTTTGTAAGTGGACGGTAGCTTATTGATTGAGGCGTTCAACTTTTATCCTCCAAGTCTGAGGTTCAACCATCTCTCTCGCCTGCTTCGGTTTGGTTAGCCGGGTAGTATCTTTAGCCGTCACCCGTAGATTGTAACTCATACCCAAGTACCCGGTGAGTGAGTTATTTTATTTTTAGTTGCTTTCTGCATTTCGCAATATTGTCTATGCACAAAACGAAAAATCCTATTATAGGATTTTAATCTATACCTAATTAATCACTTGATTATTTCAGTTTAGACTATGTTATGGTTTTTCAGCTGGTCATAAGCAGTGTTTAACTTATCACAAATTTGTGTTGCTTCAATTTATTCCACAAAATCATATCAGGAAATCAGTTGGAGGCAAAAATGAAAACGATAAAACACTCAAGGTACTAAGAAATTAATGAAAGTGAACAGAAAACAAACAATGGGCGTAAAATAATACAAGGTTGAATATCTTGAAAACTAGTTTTAAACCGTTTTACTTAAAATCTTAATAGATCGATCGGGTTTATTTGGATTCTCCTTCTTAAGTAGTCAAATAGTATTGCATCTAAGATAAAATGTAATTTAAAGATGACAAAAATATATAAATTTAGTCACCTCATCCCCTTGAACTAAAGTTAACTTCAGATTAACATGAGATGCCGGGTAAGTTTTCCTGAATGAACATTCCAATTCTAGTTTAAAATTTCTCTTAGCTATAAGCTTATGATTTTGATCAACTCCGATCTAAGTAGTTGGTTATTAATTAACTGATATCCAATTAGGCTTGAATCTAATACGTATGTACTTATTAAGTTGGGTTTACTGTAAATAGTATTCTATTAGTCTCTAATAGTATTTATTATTTTATTATATTTAGTGGACGATGGGACTGGTTGTATAACTTGCACAATATGGCGTCGTGGCTGTTCAAACCTTTTTAATGTATTATCAACAACAAAAAATTCATTTGATTTTGAACAGCATTATTTGTGTGAGCAACTTGTCAAGTTATCATGCAAGTCACAACCTATTTCATCTTCAGCTGACCAGTCGTCCAACTTACATGTTGGCCAAATATTACAGCTTAGAGGTCGTTTGAAATGCTTCCGTGGAAAGCTAAAGCTTAATACTTATTTCTGTCGTAAGTTCATTATTATCGGTCATTTCTGTAAATTCTTTCATAAGACTCATAACTGATCGTTTAAACTAACAAGGAGAACATCATAGCATAATATTCTTTTGAATAACTCGCTTTCAAATAAGAAGATCATATATTCGACTTTGGGTTGTACCTTTTTTTGCATGTGAACTTGATTGATTTTGTTATCAAGGTTGGAATTAATGGTTCGACATTTACATGGATTGAGCGCAAGGTCAGTTAAAAAACTATCTTTCAATACTTCCTATTAGCACAACCATTTCATAACAGTCCGAAGGGAAATATAAGTGATGTTCATAAAGTAATTTAAAAAACTGTAATCGTAGTTGCAGTATTAATAAAAAATACTAGGTAGAATTCAGTTCTAGAAGAAAAAACGAACCCCCTGAATAGGAAGTATAAAATGATCTTGAAACTCCGGGCAACTGAGTCAAAATTCAGAAACGGCACATGTTTACAAGTGTTGAAACAGTTTCTTGTTTAAGATCTAAAAGTTCCTACTCTGGGGTTTTGACATTGGATGTTTTAAGACTAGAGTAAAACCAAATGATTTAATAATTTCAATCATGTGGCAATTTATGCAGTCGATCAATTCACAAGTAAATACTCAGTAGGTTGATAAGGTACAGATCTCTGTAGGTTAGGGTCCCGCTTTTGCATGCATTTTCGAGGTTTTTTCCACAATAACTTTTTTATCAATCACAGGAATCACAATTTCTTTCTAATCTCTCATTTGTGTTCCTTTGATTCACAGGTTCAATCAAGGAGGAAAGTGAATTGTTACATCACATAATTCACAGGTACCGTTTACACGAAGAAATTTACTCAAATCCATATGATCCTGGTGTTGTCGCAGAAAATATAAAAAAATCTCATGTGGTCGGTTTTGTTTCTATCATTTATCACTCATTTTATTAGAATTTCAACTATTTAGAGTTCTTAGTATTAAGTTTATCTGGAATAACTTGAGTTAGCAAACAAAATACTTATTGGTTCTTATTTCCAGGTAATAAACATGGTTTAAAAACGTTTGATTTACAACAGGATTCAAGATAGCCTTTGTAGATCATAATGAGATTTCAGCTCATATGCAGACCTATTACTTTAAGATTGTAGGTCGTGAATTCATTTACAAATTTAAGCCCTTCTTTATCTGACTTCATCTTTAACATACAAATACTAAATAATCATTATTATGTTAAATATGTTGTTTTTTTCTGTTTCCTAAGTTGTTTCAAACTAAACTTTATTGATTATGGTATGTGCTGTTCGTACTAATAATAATGTAAATTCAGGCCGTTTGCAGCTGCTGAAAAGTCTTGAAATATAATGAATTCATGTTATTTTGTAAATCGTGTTCTTGCTTTGTTCAAATTGATTAAGAGATCAGGATGTATGAAATAGGAAGATGTCTGATTATTCAGTTTATGATAATATTCAGAGTATCTAGCTAATCTTCACTTTTAGTTGTATAGATAACTAGGTTAAGTTAAGTTGTGTTAACTGAAACTCTACAGTATCATTAACAAGGCTTAGTTTAAAATTTCAAACAAACGCTACACTAGATTGTTAATGATCAAATTAGTGATATATTTGTAATACCCCAATGAGTAGAAAATTAATTTCACACCCACTAACATACACATAAATACACAAACTTGCTTCACAAAAAGCCACCTTGATTGGAATGACATGACATCGGATTGATCAAACCTGTTTCGATTGCACTGAATATTCTTTGCTTTATTCTTTTGTAACTATTTAAATTTATATTGATTTAATTCACTTATTTATTTACTCTGGAAAAGCAACTCACATAAAGTCGTGATGCATCCTAAATATAAATTTTTACTCATTTGGATGTTACAAGTGTAGAATTTTTTTGTCGTGAAACTCTACAACTCTAAACTCCGTAGTTAACTGACCTATAGTTTTCATGTTTACACGTTAGAGTACATCTAAGTAGATGTAATTAAACTAAGGGAACAAATTATTCAGTATGTTCAATTATTCTATTGCTGTTAGTATTTCTATTCCCTTGTCTGAAAAAAGCTGAATGCTATTGTAATTAGCTTGAAGTATGATCTTAAAGAAGTGAGATATAACTTGTTTATATCGAACGAGAATATTAGGAGAAATGTAACTATAAGCCAATTTTGTTCAAAGACCCAAAATAGTATTTCGTTTGTTTAATATTCGATGTAAATAAGTCAAACCCAGTGACGGCATTTCCTGTATTTGTTTTCTATTTTATAGGTTAATTTAGCGAATTCACTTGTAACAGAATGTTGTAGAATCCTAGTACAGGATAATGTCCAGTTGTTTACCAAATTAGACTTATGTTTACATCCGAAAATAGTTGAATCTGTAACAGCAAACTGGAGATCTTTGACTATGGTAAGTTACTTTAATTACAATTCTTTTTGTAGCTTCTCATTTCAGACTGATTTGGGATAGACAACTAATAAAAGTATCCAGGACCTCTAGGTCTTTGGACAAGGACATAATTTTCAGACGCCGAGTTGGCATTCATTGCTTTTTATTTCTAACTTCAATCAATTCACGATATTGCTTGACCATCATTCCTTTCCATTAGATATATTCGTCTCATACTACGTAGGACAAAACGACTGTTTAGTATTTTCTGGTTTTAGTGGTTGCCTAATTAAAGTCAGCCTGTGATGTGAAATCTTAAATTCAACAATCTCTGTTACACCCTAGAATAACGAATCTGTGTTTTTATTATAAACGAACAGAGTAAATTAATGAATTCATAACGAAGTGTCTCTGCATGTGATTAGTTTAGCTTGATTAGGAACTAAGACATTGCCAGTTAGCAAGTATTCTTAGAAGTGGATTATTCTGTCATTTCTATACATAAACAAGTTACAGAATTACTCAGTAATATCTGAGTCAATAAGAAAGTAGAAGAAAAATGTAGTGTCCAACCATGTAGTTCTTATAAAAAACAGTTTTAAGCAGCCTAATACGTGTAAAAGATTAGATGCCTGAAATTATTTAGATTAGCCAAATAATAAAGTAAATGGAAAGGATATAACAAAATGTTTGTTTATTTATTTGAACACAAATATTGATACAAAGGGGCACCAAATACACATACGCCACATAAGTCACTTGATTTGTGTATGGGCTGTGATACTGTCACTTGGGATTCTATGTGTGTGTATTTTCCTTTGTGTTGTTGATGTTTTGGTACCATTTTTATGAACGCAAATTTATCTAAATGGTAACTGTCAAGCTAATGAACTTGATCTTATAGGTCTTCAAGTGTTTGGGTTATAAGCTCTGGACTATCTGAAGATATATTTATTCATTTTAAACATTAGCACAGAGGGGCACCAAAATATATATGCGCTACATAAAGTAGTTACTATTAAATCACTGTCCGGGCGTGCGCCCAAGTCGAGGCAGATGGTTTTTCAGGGAGTCACTCATCGAACCTTTAATCTAGAGGTCTGATCCACAAGGCAGTGAAGCAACGTTAGGAGGTGTAATCTCATGGTAGCCGGTGACCAATAATTGGTTCATACGCCATTTGTTCCTTCAGGATACTGAAGCCCATGTACACCATTCGTTTGGAATCAGGGTTTTCTCATTCTCCAAGGTGGATCCTCCATATCCACCAACCCAGTTAGAGCGCCGAACATTCACTTCTATGGCAGTGACGGTATACTCGTGGCCATGTGAGAGTATTTCGAGAGGGAGAGCTAACTCTCCCGACCCTCGGACGTACCATGCCGTCTGGGTGCAATAAATATATGTAAGAGATAATGAAATATTGTTAATTAACACAAACGTGGAGAATAAATGGATCTACACTATTATGATATATACTTGAACCATTTTATTAAGTGATATTAAACGCCTAAAGTAAACAAGTCAGTCAATTTTAATCCCATAAATAGCTCAGATTATTGATAAGGAAGTTCATGGATTGGTAGAATATTCTTGTTTATAATACTTACCATAATTGAGAAAAGTAAACTAGAAATCCTTGAAAAAGTTTTTGAACAGCATTTTAACATCATTAAACTCTTAGGTGTTCAAGCAACAAACCTACTGAATAACAAAAAAGAATATAGGTTTCAATATAAATATGTATTTGTGTTGGAGTGATGCAGAAATTTCCTCGAGAAAAGCCAAAAAAGGCTCTGAAACCCTCTTATCTTATCAGCATTCAGTAAAAATTTTGCTGGAAACGTCTGGAAAGTCACATGTTGCGTTCCTGATTGGATGGTCACCCTTACTGCTACTATGTCTATTAGCGTTCCAGAATTTTCCGGAAGCCCAAGGTAATCTTAAACGCTATGAATACCCCAGGTTTTCTGTACATAAACGAACCTTGGAGTAAAGTGTTTCGGTGGAACTATAATTTATTAACGAAACAATCAGATATAAGATAAGGAGTAACGAATTTCGGCGCGAAATTCATCCATACATTTGGCTAAACAGAGTTTTGGCACTATAGCTTATGTCACTTCGTGATGAAAACCCGAAATCTAATTTTAACCCTAACCATCAACTGTAAATGAAAATTCTAACTGCTTTATAACCCTCTTTTAGTCCTGATCAGTAGGTGTCCACTCTCATGGTCACTTCAGCGCCGCTCAAGGTTGTCCATAAATTATAATCTCACCGAGCTTAGCAACCGAATCTAGCGTTCAATTAGAAGACTTATCAATTTAGTCACAGTTTGTTGCCATTTATGTGTTGCTTGCAACATTTTTTTCATGAACATGTCTGAATTGCTTATTTGGAAGCATCTCCCTCTCATACGTATTTGTTTGTTGCAATATTATCAAACTGTTCCTTTAAAGACATTATCAAGAAAATCCCAGATACATTACATAACGGACACCACAACTTAGTGCACATTATACTAACGAAAAGTTCGAGAGCTCTTCAAACTGTGTAACTGAGAACTGATGTAATAGCTTACTTCATACAAATACATGGTGTCCATGAAATATTCGTACATAATGAAACTATCACCCACAACTCATGTAAAGCATCCCCACTCCTGCTCACAAGTTTCATTTATCGAAATGATTTTCTAATCCAATATAATGGAATATTTCTTGATCTCTATCTAGTGTTTTCGTGACATTCTGTTTGTATATCTCTAATATGATAGCTGACACATCTCTTGACATTATTATTAGATGTAGATCCAATTAAACTTGGACTGATTTATACAACCATATGATCACATTTCCGTTCCTCATTAAATTGTTGTTTGCTAACAATATATGTTTTATTAGCAAACTCTTCACCTAAAAATTGTATACTATCGAATTGTTATTTGTTTACACTTTCATGTGTTGTTACTGTTGTAAATTCAAACAAAATATAATTAGTTATTCGTTGAAGTCAAGATAGATTTCTAGTTTCATACAGCTTTAATGCATGTTCTGAGATCTTCTACGGTCTGTATTACTAATCCCCTCAATGGTAGGTTCATAAAACTTTTTCCCCTGATGTCTATATTTGTTTATAAATTGATTAACTACCTTTCCATCATTCTTTTTTTATCGTTAAATTGCATTTTTGCACTATTTTTATCTCATTGATAATCTAAGGCATATGATGAATCTGAAACGGATTATCTTCGACAAAGTTTCATTGAAGTTGATGAAGGTGAGCAGAGTAGTGCAGCTGAGAATAAAGCACTCAATCCTAAAAAGCTACAACTTATAGTTGCAAGTTTGATTGAACGATTATTAATTGAGGGTTGGATTTTTCCAGCTACTCAATCTATTGGAGGTATGCGGACTTATTATGTAAGTTACGAGTATTTTTGTAAAGTTTTAAATAGTTAAAACTGAGATTCTGGTAGACAATAAGTCGTTCATATTGTCTTTCTGCATTATTAGAAATGATATTTGAAAGTAGTACTTTAGTGTATGATTCATTACTTGAAAGCCGATTGTCACAAATATGTGACAAAGAGGGCAATTGAGTTACCTACAATTATCAGCTTAGCGTTGAACATGATACGGTGACCGGTCTGTTGGAACCACCAAACTTCAGTAACAAAAACAGAGTGACTCGCTTAGCAATAGTTGTTTTGTAGTGCTAACAATTTATCTACCTAACTAATCTTTGTATTTTCGTGGGTTTGTGTTAAGAAAAATGAACGTACCATGGATCCACTTTGAATCATCTCTATGATTACTTGTACGTCGACTGACATCTGTTTGCCGAAAAATGATCATTAGTATTATTATTTTACATATAAATGCCCTGGTACGGCCGAGAGTGGGGAAAGTCCGCTCTCCCTCTCGAAATGCTCTCACATGGCCACGCGTATATAGCCTCTGCCAGGGAAGTCCTACTCACTGCCTTCTCGTGGCGGGGGTGTTATTTACAAAAACGAGAGGACGAAAAGCGAATGTCCGGCGCTTTAACCGGATCCCAAACTGATGGTGCACATGGGCTCCAGTATCCTGCGGGAACAAATGGCGTATGAACCAATCGTTGGTCACCGGCTACCATGGGACTGCATCTCCGTACGATGCTCCACTGCCTTGTGGATCAGACCTCTGGGTCAAAGGCTCGGGGAGTGGCCCCCTAAGAAAACCACCTGCTTCGGTTTGGGCACCCGGGCAGTATCACAGCCCTCACACATATCGAATAAGATTTGTGTGGCGCATATGTATTTGGTGCCTTCTTGTACCAATATCTATGTGTTAAAATAAATAAATAAACGAAAACAATTCCAAGTTCGTACAGTCTAGGAATTTCCATATAAAATAGTAAAATGCAACTCAACTATTACCACGTACAAGTCCACACTCTACTTAACTAGAGTACCAATGTTCTCAGAAAGACATTCGAACAGTAAAAATTGTCCACAAAACTTTATTGAAGATGAATAGCGGTCATTCACTGTTGAAAATTTTCAAGGTGTTATAGTGCCTAGTACTATGCCAAACCTATATGGCTTGTTCTAGCTTCCTTGTAGACCAATCTACTTATTCTCCTTGAGTTACATTACGACCATATCAATTACTCACCCATTCCGTTATTCTCTAACGCGAATGAAGTCGATAATTATAATACGACGGTAGCCGGGATTTATATTTCGTTAACATCATGATACGATCAAATCGGAGTTAGCTCAATGTAATATAAAAGTATGTCTTGATTATCAATAAGTTAAATAGATTATAAACTGAAATTTATTGGAATATTCCATATTTTTCCTGAGAATTCCTTACTCTAGATTTATGGCATTGGATAAAGCAATAACTATTTTGTACTCAGTAATTGACTAGCGTAGTGTTTCGGTGTTAATGTTTATAAACGGCTAGTTTGTTTGTAATAAGTAAATTTTTATCATTTACAAATTCACTGAATTTTAGTTTGTTCAAGAGAATAAGAAATTACTCGATGCTGTTTATGGGATAATTTTTTCTCAAGGTAATTTCCGCATGCATTGCAATTTTTATGTTGTTAATCATCAGTCAATAGATCATTGAATGTAATCGGAACTGCGTAATAAAATGGTGATTATTGTTAGCATGTACGACAATCAGTTTTAAATATTTTTATCCTGATTAAGGTTTTTAGTTGTATAAGAAATTCCAGAATAGCTTGTACTGCTCATTACGATAGTCGATTTTTTATTGCTACATATACTGTTTGTGAATTACATCATTGTTTCATTCTGAGATAGCTTTCCACAAAGTCGATATAACTGTTCTATTACTTGCTTCAACCATGCTTGAAAGGGTTTTTTTGCGATTCATGGAAACCTCAGACAGTGGTTTTAATATTAAAGTTTAAGGCATTTAATGAGTTAACAGTCTTCTTTACATTTAATCAATGTACATAACCAAGTTTGATATCTATCATTTCTCGTCTATTATTGTGATAAAAAATAGTTTTCTACCTGTACCTTTATTGCTTTCAGCACTTCAGTTTGTATAAGGGCTCTAAGCAACTGAGTCATAAAAAAATATATAATCACAAAATTCACACTTTTCCCATCAACCAAAAATATATTCTTCAGCCGTTAAGTAAAAAAGATTATTGATATCTTATTTCGCTTTATACAGTTAAACAAAAAATCTAGACGTCAGTTTCTCGATTAAATATACATATGGTTGAAGATTAAACCCTATAGATAACAGTATACGGGGTTTGGTTTGAATTTCATTCTGATATGAGGTTGCTTGTAACAAAATTCCCAATCTAGGAAGGGTAATCGACCTATTTGATATGCTTACTTACTTAATTACGCCTGTTGCCCCTCGTGTATGAGCACAGGCCACCTACTAACATTCTCCATCGAACTCTGTCCTGGACAATCCTTCCCAGTTGCTATTCATCTTTTTGATGTCTACTTCCACTTCTCGACGCAGCGTGTTCCTTGGTTTTCCTCTACCCTTCTGGATTGTCTCGTGGTGCAGTCTGGTGATTTCCGAAATGTATGCCCTATCCACCTCCAGCGTCTTTCCTAATTTCCTGTTTAGCTGGAAGCTGAATTGTTTTCTTCCACAATAGGTTATTTGATATGCATATATATCTAACTAGACTATTAGATGAAAATTTTTCGGGAAACACAAGAGAGTATTCACCAAGTAGCCATTATTCCACAATTTTTCAAGTGTTATATCGAACTTCTACTTCTTTTTATTTCATTTTTAGGCATAAATAAAGAAATATCACTGCATAATATACTACACAGTATTCGACAACGGTCGTTTCCTGATAATTTGCAATTAACACGTATAACCTTAAATGCACTAAAACATTTATTGAATCAATTGGAATCTGAAAGTCGTATATATCAAAGTAATTTCGGTTGTTATAGTGTAGCTTAAATGTGTAAAAAAAATTGTTTGAACTTTAATTATGCTTACAGTACTTTTTTGACAGCATTCTACTACCACTGTTTTACTAAACATTCACATGTTTATATGCACTTTACTCATGATGGTATATTAGCAGGCTTTAAATTCATTGTTATAGTGTACAGATCATAAATAAAATTATTTGCTGTTCAAAAGTCTTCTCTCATTTATGTTTGTCGATTCGAGCTTTAGACTATAAATACTATGCCTCCCCATGTACTAGTTGGTATATTCATGACTCAAATAAGGCTCACATGGTAAAGAAACGAACTAATGAAGAAATGATCATATATATTAGCCGAAATAGTAAACATGTAGAAGATCCATGTCAGGATGTTATATTTTATTTGGTGCGTCAATCTAAGCAACATTATAGCGGTATGAAAAGGACTAGTCATAATTTTTATCGAGCTCAACCCTTTCTGAAGCATTTTGGTCCCTTTGAAGTCGGACTTGTTTCTAAAGTATGTAACGCTGTCGCCGACCTATTCTTTAGATCAACCGAGGATTTGGGGATATGTTTCAAATGCTGGCTAGGATAAGTTTAATAAAGTTTCAGAATAGTTAGCAAAATGCTAATTTTTTCCGAACATGAATTGACGTAACAAATATGCTAGTGAACAAATCTTTCATGAGCGTCGCTGTAAATCATTAAGTTTTATTTTTAAGGGATTACATATAAACCGACTATGTTACATTAATTAGACAGTTACGTCATTAGTATTGTCTATGTTCTAGAATTTCGGTAGACGAGGTGTTGAGAGGGCAGTGCTTGGCCTGTCATAGGTTATTCCAAAATAGCTCAGTTATTTACGGAGGGAAGTAGTGTTTTACTTTCCTGAACGCAGAAACGTGATTTAATCTAAATAGAAAACGGCCCATTTTTGTATTGGTTGTCTGCTAATAGAAAATTCTAGTTATCAAATATCAATCCATAGTAATTGAAATTAGCAAGAAAATCATATAAACACAGGACAGTAAAAACGTACATATCCTCTTAAAATCACAAAACAAAATGGACTAGAGGATCGGAATAAAAGTGATAAATCAAATAAAGAAGAAAACAACAAATCTGTGTTGATTATATGACTAGTATGGCAACGAAACGAAATATGACTAAATGACTTCAGGTAAGTTATCTACTTCATGTCACATGAATCAATGCTAAATTAAATGAATAGTGTATAATCAAAGGAAATAAACTAACAAATATCCTTTGGTTGTTTTTTTGCTCGTATAATCAGTGAAATTCATGATTATAATAGTTTTAATTACCTGGATGTGACATTTTTAGTATTAACTGATCTCATTCTGGCTGGTGTGTAATAACTGACTGGTAGTTTACTGCCTCTTTATTCACTATTGCTTCATGATTATTGTCTTCAATTATCAATGCATCACCTCTAATGTTAGTAACAGTAGTTGTATTGGTGTTAATATCAGTATCGTTAGGTAGACAACATGTTGGAGGTGTTGTCAAAGCTTGTCTGTAATGTGCTCCAACTAGTATACAGATCATTGGTTTACAAGCTGCAAACATTGTATCTAATAATTGATTTATCATTCTAAATACTTCTGGATCATAAGTGATGTAATTTTCAGTTGAAATTACGTGTAGTAAAAATTTTGGGATTTTACAAATCAACAAAATTAGTCCAATACAAACTGCTGTTATAACATTAGCATTTTCACGTGTCTCGTCTAATTGAGGCAATTGGAAGAAAAGATAGGATAACTCCTGTTCAATTGGATCCAAGTTTGTGAAATTACCGTTATTACGGTTGGTACTGGTAAATGATTTTTGAGAGGTATCATTCTTGTCAGGAGTAGACTGTTTTGTATTTGTTACTTTTCCAGATTTTTCTTGGTTATTAAAGTCAGATGACCAGGATTTAGATAGATCCTCCGATTTTACACCTTCACGACATTCTTTACCACAGACACCTGTTCGACAGACACATGCACAAGCAGTTTCATTGCATAAGCTAGCTACGGCCTTCCACTTTGATGTATGTAAATTTACCATTTTTAAAACGATAGTTGTTATTAACAATCCACAAGCCAAATACGGTAAAAACATTTCAAGCGGAACTTTTAACCAATTATCCATTATATCCCTTTTTTAAAACATTAAAAACGATTTGATCACTAAACAGAAATTTAATTGTTTATACTATTTTTGTATGGCTTGTTAATTATGAGCTTATTTAACTAGTATCCGTTATAAGTTGGGGTACAAATCCAGTACAAAAATACTGACGATGTGAATTTGGAGACCGTGATTTTCTTCGAGGATATACACTTACTAAAATTGAGTGCTAGGAAATATTCAACTTACGAAAACTAAACAACGGACCTACTGAACATCAGTGTGGTATCAGTTTGTTTAATGGCTGAACTGAAGTGCTCAGCTAACGAAATCCAATAATCAATCATTTTCACTCACCACTTAATGACGAGTATGTAAAACCTCGGATGGATGGAAAAAGCAGAAAGCTAATTTATGATAAGATACTAGGATAAGAAACAGTCCTGGCTTCCTAAATAATTAGAACAACACATATAAGCGCTTATATGTGTTGTTCTAATTTTCACAATGGGAATCTTCAATATCCTAAATAATCCACAAAAATCATCCAACCAGGTAACTTCAGAAGTTATGACATACCTCATAACAGAAGATGATGTTAATCTTACCATTGCTTTCTGTTGTGCTGTTTATAAACAGTGTAGTGGCGTTTCTTGACCAAAAGGAATCTATTTTAATTACGTTTTTATAAAGCCTTTAATTCCAAATCTATTAAAATTACTATTTCTATCTTCTGATTCTCTACAATATTGTCGTCTCACTTTGTTTCGCACATTTCTTGATGTACTATTGTAGTAAGACGTTAACTGTGTAATAATAACACGGGTATATTCTTCGATACATTGTTTTATCATGATCAATCTAAATGACTTTTCTCTTTTCTTTTGCTACTCTGCTCGTAATTAACTGGATGTCACAATAACAACAGAGCAGCCTTTAACTAACTAAGAGATCAAGTTTTATACATGTACTGCTCGTCGATAATAACAGATCCTAATGTCTGTTAAACAGTTTTTCTTGAAGTCAACACCCCAGGTCTCTGTAAAGAATCATTTTATGAAAGTCAACATCGAAATACAACATATATTGACTTGTTTTAAATACATCTAGTTTTACTTTTGCTATGAATCTTCAATTAGTCATCATTTCAACATATTTCTTTTTTGAAGTTGCAATAATCTAATTTAGTGTGATAGATTATGCATTCATTTTCAGTTTGTGTGAAAAACAAAATTTTCTTGAAATGCATCATTTTCTCAGTTATAAATACTAAGTTTTTTGATAGTACACAAAAAATTTAGAAGCATTTTGAAGACAATGTTCTAACATAAGTCACACACTATAAAAGGATATTGAAACGTCCATTTTTAAATTTCGATGTTTTTAGTTTCCTTATGGATAATAAAATTGACATAATACAAGGTATTAGTATTAACTGCTTTAATGAATTCCCTTAGTAATGGTCCAAAATACATTTTAGCGATGTATATACACTTCAATTTGCTTGAATCATTCGTTGTGCAAACTGTGAAGAAAAAAGACTATAAGCAACTGCCACTGACAATAAATATGAAGTGTTATTTACTCATTTATTTGAACACATAAATATCGGTAAAAAGGGGCACCAAATACACATGTGCCTCACAAGTCACTTGATTTGTGTGTGCGCTGTGATACTGCCTGGGTACCCGTCAGTTTGGAATTAGGGTTTTCCCACTCTACAAGGTGGATCTTCCAGATCCACTAACCCATTTAAAGTGCCGAACATTCGCTTTTCATCTCAATTTCGTGAACAACACCCCCATCGCGTGAAGGCAGTGAGTAGGACTTCCCTGGCGGTGACTGTATATGCGTGGCCATGTGAGAGTATTTCGAGAGGGAGAGCTAACTCTCCCAACCCTTGGTCGTACCAGAGGATTTGGGGGCGTTAATCATGTGTATTCACTACAAAATATTTCCACAAAGAGTTATGAAATATGTTCATTTAGAAGATACAACGCGTCACAATATGACAAGAGACTTATAATATTAAAAATATAATCTAATCAAAAAATTACTTCACGTAAGAAGCGCTGTAAACTTTAGTTTTGAAAAAAGTTCTTTAGAGCTATCAAATGAAGTGAATATTCAATTTGATTTACCGAAACATCTCCGTTTTGCCAAGTTGAGTGAGCAAAACACGTACAACCTTTTTATCTGGATATTCCACATAAGTATATTCAAAAAATTTGCATCCCATATAAGCAATACATAGGAAAAACACCGCTATTACGATTTTCACGGATTCAAGTTGTGAACACAATGATTTGGAATGTGGGCCCAAATTCAAATAAAGTAGACGATTGATTAGTAATGCTATGGTTAACCAAACCTAAAATGAAAATTTAAAAAAAGTGGGAAGAATTACTGAGAATGCCAATCAATTGGTACTACGTGACTTAGACTTCATAGCTATTGGAGGATGTCTAAAATGATCAGATTTCTCGTCTAAATTGAGAACTCTTTAACAGTTCATGCCCTAGACTAAGGCTTTGTAGTGGATATGTCGAAATACAACCAAGATAACTAATTTATATCTTATGAGAGTAGTTGGAACTGAACTAAATCATCATAAAGCGAAGTATTTATTACTACTTTTGACTTGGTTAGGTGTCTATTACAATTTATATTTTACAAAAGTGACGTTGTTTGAGACCGAATTTTTGAATAAGTGTAAATCCAAATACATGTTTTAAAGAAATTCATTGCAATAATGCACAAGCGTTGCTGAGGACTTCTTACTGTGACAACATCTATCGTGATGAATATATCTATTGTTAGTTATTTACATATTCTTTGCTTATTATTATTTATATTTCATAGTTCAGCTAGAAAGAAACGAAAATTAAATGATGTATAATTTAAAGTTATTTTGCTTCAATTATTGGTGTAAACTATTTTCAATTTAATGGCTATTATTAGTACCAATAATAAAAAAGCAACTAATTACAATTAAACAAGATAATCTTGAAATGAATTTATTGTTTTAAACATTCATTAATTTTTCTTAGCTAAGTGAATATTCTGATAGAGAATTAAGCTCCAAAGTCAGATGAATAGTGTTATCTTTAAAAGCATTTTTATGAAAAGACCGACAAAATGGGTAGCTTTGATGAACAGCAATTGACGTTGTCAATTAAGATGACAGCTCAGTCAGTCAGCCACAAATTAGGACCAGGCACATATATGTATCGGTCCAAGTTGCCACACTTCATTAGCACAACAAGGTGAACAAATTCATAGTAGTTACTTTAATGGTAGTAATATGTAAATGAAAGATTGCATATAAGGATGTAGTACAGAAAGGAAGAATTAGTTCGTAGAGAAAAAGTATAAAGTAATTTTAATAAATAATGGGAATTTTTCAGTTATTTTATTCTCACGGTTTAAGGGAAGACAAAGAGTGTACACACCTACACCATTGTGAGTGATTCTGAGCCATGTCGCCCAGTCTTCAACCATTGTTTACGATAGATGACAGCCCACCACAACCTCAAATTTCTGAAGTAGCGTCTAACCAGAGAGTCCTCAGTAGTTTCGCCTGCTTTTTTAGGGACACTTTACGATGACAGATACTGCTATAAAAGCTGTCAAATCAAATGCAACTTGTAAGTTAAGAAATATGACTACAGTTGGAAGTCCACAAACATCCGTTCCGAAACTGATCTCGAAGCGAGCATTTGATCTGCACATCTACCTAGCCTGCTTTTTACAGGTTTGTTGTTACTGAGCTTCCTGAAAGCGTAAGATGATTATCAAAGCAACTATTTCAGAAATTCAACTGTATGTAATTGCTTCCTACAAGTGAGACCACTCTGAAACTAATCATTTTTTTGGTCTTCATCATGTTCAAAGATCAAAAGGATGAACTTTCGGGCATTTATCAATGCAGAAGCTACCGTTATCTGTATTTCTAGTTATCACCTATCACGCACTTGCATACTTTCGTATTCCCACTTTCATATTATTCTTGTTGTTCTTATATATTTTCGTTACACGAAACACCTATTTATAGCATATCAGTACACCATAACTGGTTAGTGTGGCGTTAGTAGGTGTTACCTTTATTCAGCAACTATTCTATCAGTGAAAAAAGTGTGGAATTTATTGTGATGTGATATTTGAACGCTGTAGGTTATAAGAAGATGTCCAATAGACCTATTATAATTAGTTGGTTTTTCATTAACCACTAAGCACTAGATGTTTAAAACTGGAATTTGATACTTAGAATACTAGGTATTTAAGATGAGCAGCTGAATTGTGTCTTCAGACTGTCATCTAACGGGAGTAGTTTAAATCCTAGCACACGTGCCTTTACTTAGATAATGAGCTATATTTCTAATTAAAATCAGTTTAATAAGTTCATTATAACTTACAACTAACAGTTCACATATCTGTATGACAGGCAGGCCATATGGAATCAAGTAACCAGAAAACTGTCCATACATTTCCATTTGTTCAATAAATGATGGTGGCAGATAGTGAATAACATTAATTAATAATGATAACCCCATAAAAACACAATCAAATATTGCCATCGCACTCAAATAAACAGTAGCTCCAGAACGATTCAATCCAAAGTTATAAGCTGGGAAAAGAACTATATTGCTTATAATTCCACATAAGCACAAAGTAAAACAGACAACACCCAAAATACAATGATTTGGATAACTATTATATTCCTTATCACATATATAGTCATCATAACATCCAGTTACATTATTCCCAATATGTTGCATATAGTTAAAAACCGATATTGATGAAGAATTTGGCAAAGATTCTTCTACTGGTGGACTAACGTTAAGGTATGATGAAGTGGCTGGAGTAATTAATCCCATATGTCTGTTCAGCAATAAAGTATAAACAAGAGGAAATAGGATAAAGAGACATTTTCATTGGGAACATGATGATCACTTCGTCAGTTAAGATATGTAAGGAAACGCTAATTATTAGAATAGAAACGAATGCTGATTGAATGTCTAGGACTTAATTGTTAATGGAAAATGGTCGTGTTTACAATCTTACATTAACAAGCATAGACCTTTTAACTGTTGCTACAATCAATGCTTTGGGATGCTTTTTTACATAAATTATATATTTATAATATTTTATCCAGTCTATCAAACTTATTTACACCTTCGCTATACTATACTGATGTATCTTCAAAATAACTTCCAACTAAACTCCTTCATGCAATTAATTAAAACCCGTTTTGTAATTATGATTTTAAATACTACAGGTTGTATGCAGCTAACGAGAATCATATAAGATAAGATGAATCCATTCCATTACGCTAGAATTTTTGTTCTTGTTCTCTTCAAGATGATTAAAGGGACTGTGTATAAAATTAGTGTGTACTTTACACTGTGTCTGTGTATCTGATTATTTCAAGCTACAGCATTTATAGTGATGTACATCCCATGTTGACTTGGCATCTTGATAATCTCAAATGTGATAATGAGAATCATTCTCTGATTATACTGTTACCATACAATAATAGTGGTGTCATTAATTGAATAATTTGTTTTTGGATATATCGTAGTTCTTTTGCTGTTTTATATTACTAATGCAACCGCCACTGATGAATGTTGAGAAGTCAACTGGGATGAATTTAAGTGTTAAGTTTTCTAAAATAACAATAAATTAGGAGAACATCGCCTTAAATAGTGTAGTACCAATCGCTACTATATATGTTGGATCACATTTGTTAACTAATCGATCAGCTTGATAAGGTTACGCATCAATTTAGGTGCGCTTTTTTATGCTACACTGAAAAAGCTAATGAACTCATCCCAAATCCGTAGTATAAATGACAAGCGTATTGGTACCTATGTGACAGACAAACTGATTGTCATAACTACAGTGGTAGAAACAATGAATTGAACGATGGAGAAATATTATTGAAAGATTTTATCCAGATGGACTCAATATTATTTTGCAAACTAGTGCACTTTAGAATGTGATAAGTCATTGAACTCATTAGTCAAGCACACAATAAGTAGCAATAATTAAAACCGTTCATGAATTTCGTAACGTTTCATAAACCCAAAATTCCCGCAAACATTTTCAGGATTTCTCCGAGACTTTGAGAATTTTCCACAGATATGGGAAAACTTTGAGGGTTTTCGTGCCCTCTTCCTAAAGTTTTCTATTACAGCTTCTCCTAAATTTGCCCGAAACGGACGTTTCCCCAAAAATAGGGAGGTTAGGACCTTAAAACGCCATCAAAATATAAAAAGTTCTTAACTGATCAACACAAAAAGCCCATACCTCTTTTCGTATTCCGCACCACTCATCGGAGAGCATGGATCAGAGGGACTCAAGCATTGGAGATGAATACACCATTCGTGGACTTTTTCGATGCTTTCTGCAAGTCCATACTGACAAAATTCTTTGTACTTCAAAACATCGAGCGAGTAATTCCGGTAAACTTCATAACTATGCTTGAAAACATCATCTACATTGGGAAGTTCATCAATTCGATACAGCTGATCCATCGGTCAGAACACCAAACGACCGTCAAGCCATTACCAACGGCCCTTGGTATTAGCGTAACCAAACAATAAGAACCAACAATAAGAAACTGTATAATAAATTATTTTTCTGTCCAGTGTTCCATCAGTAGGTGTATCTGATTCAAAATACAACATTTCATGTCTTTAGGACGTTAAAAATATTATACTTACGGTATTTTAAATGGACCGTGGCATTATTCCTGCTTAAATCACACTGCCAATAAAAGGTGTTCAAAACCAAACTCTCATTGACTCTGTATGTTTTTTGTTTGAGCGAAACAATACTCATCCAAGAGGCAACAAGCCTTCCGGGGCTGGCTAACAGAAAGGTTGATGAGGACTGCACTGGTAACATGGGTACTGATAGCGAAGAATCCGTCAGTGTCGTAGGTGTTGTTACTGTATAGACTGTTATCCCATCATTGCAGGCTATATATGTATCAGAAGTGATAGAGTTTTAGGTTGCAAGGGAGGAGACATAATGTTATATGTTAGGGATCACTTTCGTATATAATCAGTCATATCAGGAGTGTTAGTGGTACATGTGAGGTAGCGTGTTGTGCAATTAGGTCTAAACACGGTTTAGTGATCACTGGAGGAATATACCGTAGTCCGTGTCGTCTTGCTGACGACTTTATTTTAAAACACATCTGTTCTTGGAGTAAGGCATAATGTTGTGTCATCATTACAGATTTTAATGCACCGCATAACAACTGAATAGAGCTTACTGATCCATATAGCTGTTTCGTTAGCGACCTTCTATCAACCACTATTCAATGTGCACTTGTGTGAAGTGTCGCAAAACCGACACATGTTGACGTGGAACACGATCCGTCACTGCTGGACCTTGTCCTTACACAACGTTGTGAAGCTGTCATAGACATTCAACGCCTTCTCCCACTAGTAAAAATTGATTGCGGGGCATTTTACTTCAGGTTTCGGACACATGGTATACAATATGTGTCAGCTCCACCCCCTTCTAATATCTGGCGAGCTAATATTCCGGCAATCGGATACTGTGCCATCTCGATTTACTGATCGGTCGATTCTGATGGATCGATCGAAGACGATTGGTATAAGTTCATGGCTACATTCGAGTCAATAACATCACCGTTTATCCTTTGGACAACACATAAGCTATCACATCATCAACCATGGATTATAAGGAAAGTCGAAAGCTGTTAAAGCGTAGGAAACACTTTTGTGACTTATTCTTGTCAACAGGACATGAATCATTCAAGTGTAAATACTAAAATATCCGGACTATATGTAAAAAGACCATAGCTGTACTGCTTACGAAAGACAGTTGACGTAAGATAGACGTACCTGTCCGGCACGATTGTTTTCGTACGTTAAACGAAGAATAAAACATAGTTATGGTATTCCATCGTAAGTGTTACAAAAAATTCAGATTTACTGGCCGAACCAGATTATTCAAAAGCCGATAATTTTTCCCAGTATTTTAACAAAGTCTACCCTAAATGTATTGTTAAAAGTACTTGTCTTAATCACACCACCAACATACCAGCCATATGTGGCCGTAGACAGAGAGTGAGGGTCAATGGAACGCTGTCCGAATGGAAGCCGGTCAAAAGTGGTGCACGCCAAGGCACCATCTTACGCTATCTACTTTTCATTTTCACGCTAATCAATGTACGCTGTTGATTAAGTCGTCGACATAATTGTTTACGGATGATGTCAAGATCTGGAAAACAACAAAAAGTGAGGCTGACCATTTTGATCTCCAAGCTGACTTAGATGAGTTAGCTCTATGGGCTCGGGGTTGGGGATTAGAAGTTAATTCTAGGAACTGTGCTAATGCACCTCGGACACGGTAATAGTCACCACTATGCTATTGATGGTACGTCTTTTCCACGCGTTCAAGAACATAAAGATTTAGGAGTAATAATAAGTCAAAGGCTTTCGTGCGTTATGGTCACTTCGCCGAGCATTCATATGCTTTGACCAGGAAATGTTTCGAATTCTATATCGCACTTATGTAAGACCACATCTAGAGTACTGTAGCCAAGCAGCTAGTCGATCTCTGATAAAGGATACTAACTCACTTGAGCGTGTTTAGCGTGTACGAACAAAAATAGTGAAGGGTTTTTCTAAACTCCCTTACTATGAGTGTTTAAAACGCCTAAACCTTTTCCCCTTGTCGTCTCGTAGGATGCGAGGTGGCCTTATACCGGCATTTTGTATCTTTAATTATGATTTGGGTGTTAATATGTCTTATCTTTTTGCTCCCTCCAGCACTAATAATCTCCGAGGTCACAGCCAGAGGGTTCACAAACCGCGATTTAATAAACTTAAAGTGGGGTCCCGTTTTTCTCATCGAGTAGTCAGTGACTGTGACGTCTTACCCGAACAGACGGTATCAGCATTATCAGTGAATATTTTCAAGGAGAAGCTCGACCTTCGCTGGAAGGCAGTCTGTCAGAATTAACATAGGTTCACCAACCTACTATCCTTATTACTGGAGACTGGTAGAAGTAGTGAATATGAACAAATAAACCCGATTTCGGCGTGAATTTATCCTTACATCAAAGTTTATGTCATTCCTCGAGAAAACCCTCATCATTCCCATAAAAACTTTACATTTCATGCTAAATCTGTTGATCGGTGATAGCTGTATCACGTTCTCATCATACGCTGTTCCATAAAAAACGATTTTCATGCTGACGTAAAAATAATTTAAGACTGCTCATGTCCTTAACCTGTTCCTTCAAAGCATTTTACAATATGAATTACTCGCTACAACTTTTTCTAAATTAGCCACTATATGCTTGGTGACATTTTGCTGAGCATTGCTACTTTGGACATTAAACATAAGTAAGCCAGTCTTCAGCGACAACAATAGTAGTTGCATGGATCTGTGTCAATCCTACAGCTTTTTTCTAAGTGACGATCCAGCCTCACCCCAACAAGATTCAATGATAAGGCCGACATCACGTGGTCGGGTAATTCGGTTCAATCATTTTCCACTCGATGAGACAAACGGAATTCCACTCTGAATGTATCAGTTCACGGTTCTTGAACATACATGCTGTGACCTCGTAGATGATTCGTTCTAAAGAGAGCAAAAGCGTATGATACAATAACACTCAAACCAGTATTAGAGATACGGAATGCCGAAATACATGATCATCCCGCGCTCTACATTGTGATAAGAGGAAAAGATTAAGGCGTTTTTAACATTACTCGTCAAACAGTTCTCAGATATCAGTCACTAAGTTTGTTTTTACAAGCTGAACACTCTCACGTGTATCAGCACCTTTATTCATAAATGTGCTAGCTGCTTGGACACAGCACTCTAGGTGTAGTCCAATACAGGTGGTATGCAAAATTCAGAACTCTTCAGTACATCTGAACGATCAAAAAACTGATCATAACGCTCGGAAACCTTTGGGGGCTGCAACGTGCAGTTGTTTTTAAATTATAGCTTACCGTTGCCCATAATTCGGTGTTTCATGCGCACCTGGAAGCGATGTACCGTTGATAATTTATTTGGAATCCAGTCTCACTACTGCACTTCATTTTGGGTTTTTACAGATGATTCAATTCTTCTCATTTTACGGACTTCCTGAACAATCTAACGCACTTACCAACCTAAGTAAACAGAGGTTAGTAAACGGAATCACAAAACAATGTCATGTTTAGTTTTAGTCACACATGCAGTTGACATTTACATCTCATCAACATTTAGCAAGTATCCGGAATTTCAAAAACCAAAGTACAAACCGTTGAGAGAAAACAGCGATGTTAGATGTGACAAATTTAAACTTATTTATGTTTTCGAAGACAACGTGACTTTTCCCCGGAAAACAAGGAATTCCAAGCGACAACATGTTTTCTTTAAGCAGCACATGGAGAGCCTCGTTGCATATGACCCTTGAAACAAATGGTGGTTGCTAACTCAGGGGTTATTATATTCAACGCAAAAGGTTGGTAGTTTCGAACTGTTACATAATACTTTAAGCCCGTGTCTTGTTGACTTACTTGAGGCGCACAGATGTATTTTGAAGATTAACATTTGGATGAATTACAACCAAATCCTCATCTCACGTAGATAATCTTCAAATCAGATGTCATAACTCAGTTTACTTTTTTGAATATTTTCTCATGTTATCCAAACGTTGGTACGCCTTACCAACGAGGTCATCACTCTGAAGACGCTCATAATAAGAACTGTTAGTTTGTAAGCTTGGATAAATAAGCATTTTACAAATAGATGAAGGAAGGGTTCAGAAACATTATGTCGATGAAGTTGTACAGTCTTCCACCAAAAGCCTTTGATGTGTTGAGGCGATTCCATTGATAAATACTGATCTTGGTAAAGGCATGAACACATCGTGGTCCATAGGTAAGCCGTAGTTCACCTTTTCAGGGATTCGAGTTGCAATAAAACCGTATGAGAAACTGTTGTTACTGAAGTCATTCATAGTGCAACTTTCCTACTTTCAGGAGATTTATCGCCCCCCTATTTTTCTCACTTGATATTAAGAAAACCTCCGACGTATGCCGGCTCATAAGCATCACGGTTTTACTCAAGTCTATGTTCGTCCAATCCTATTCAACTAAAATCGTTGTCCAAGTCAACCAACTGTGTATTACACACATTTATGTAGGAAGTAATTTATCAAAACACAATTTTATGAGCGAAGAATATTCTTTTCGATTATTTCTCATTAGGTTCTCATCAGATTGAAAAGAATATTCGGCGTTCACAAAATTATGTTTTAATATAATTGGAATTTTTCAGCGAGTAATTTATTAACCTAAACCTTTTGGTGCAACTTACAATGGATCTCGAAAGTTTTAAAGGCATGAATTTGAGTAGCATGCCATTGATTTAATCGGAAATTGTCTCAAGCGAACCCACTTTGACGTATGCGTATATTTCGCGTAAAAAGCAAGACGATACATATACATAAGCAAACTGAAAATTTTGTCGCTAATCAATGCTAAATATTTTTGCTCTGATATTTTTGTAAATCTGGTAGGGCTTGTGGAAGTATTTTTCTTTATAA